AGCGAGGAGGGGAGCGGGGGGGACCCCTCTCCAGGAGGGGTGTTTAACCTGGGTGCTCTAGCGTACCTGGAGTGAGGTTTTCCCAGAGGTTCACAACGGCGAGTGCAGAGTCCAGCTGCACCGCCACTGGGTTTAAAAGAAACGGCAACGACAAAAATAAATAAAGAAGTCAACCCCTCCTATTAAGATGCGAACGAAATGGGTATTTCTTCAGGTCTTGGCCCGGTTTGGAACCCTCTAAAAACTGAAGCAAACATTTAAAAGGGCTTCTTAACTCTGGGGGGGGCAAGGTGATGCGGGCATGAGCGGGAGGAGAGATCACACGCCTGCTGCCAATCGCACCGAGGGTCACTTCGCAGCACGAAGCCCCCGTTTAAAGTGCCGACCACACCAAAGAAGTTGGAGGAGCGACATCCTTCTCCCCCTTTTTCCATCACAATTTCCAACTGAAACCCATCTCCTTCACCACGTCTCAACTAAGTCTATTCTTTCGGGCATTTACTCAGCTTATACTGGTTTAAAAAAAAAAAAAGTTAGTAAAAACGTTACGTTGAACTTCCCAACTCTTTGCAATGGGCTTCCACCAACTAAAGGTCCAGAAATCGGGAGAGCAGAGCCTGCACGTTTCACCTGGCCCTGAGGCCGGAGCAGAGAGCCAGCTCTGCTCTCCGGGGGCAGCCAGGCGTGAGCAGCTCTGCTCGCCAGCATCAGGGACGCAGGGGATGCAGAGTCCTGCCAGAAATGTCCTTTCACTCGTTTAAGCCACCTCTGAACCCCCTGAGAAGGGGAACAATGTGGGGAAGAACATATCCCCCTCAGCCCCCAGGAATAAAATATCAATGAAACAATAATGCAGTCAAAAGAACACCAGCCTGCTGGGTTTATAAAAAAAAATTCAATAAACTTCACAACAAAAACAAAAAACCCAAAAAGGAAACTAGCCAGCGGTTTGGGTCTGGAAACTGATTCACTTCTTAAATGTTTGAAGTCCAACAAGGAACAGACAGCGGTGCCACAAGGAAAAAGTGCTCGCGAGATGCAGCTTCACGAGAGACGGCAGCGAATCCGCGGGACAAGAACCCCACTTCCATCACCACTGCCTCGTACGCCCACCACCGGCCCGGGAGCGCTGGGCATCGCTCGTGATGGACGCGCAGCAGGAGCTCTGCGTGGGATCTAGAAACGGGAACAGACTGCTCCTTCCTCGCTCCGGGTCTGCTCTGGGTGCTGCAGCCCTGGCTGTGCTGCACCAGGCTGACTGACTAGGGCTGCTTTCTTCTTCAAAACGACGGGTAGGAAAGCTAAAAAGCTACATAAAGACCAGGATCTGTGGAGTCAATAATAACGTGGAGACAAGGAAGAGATACCCTATGAGACACTATCAAAAATGCAAGCAGTGATGTGCCAAGCTGCTGGAAGAGACCGGAGACGTGCCCAGGCTGGCCACAGCTATGTGATGGAGCAGGTTACACCTCTGCCAGCCTGGGACGGTGAGACCAGCTTTCCAAAAAGCTCAACTGCTTCTCCTCTTGCTTCACTGGGAAGAGATTCCTCTCTCTGTCCCACTGGGGATTTTGTGACATGCCGAGCTGCCAGTGCCACGGAGCAGCCAACTCTCGCCAATGGGCGCCCAGAAGAAAGCCCTGGGTCCAACTGCTCTGGCAGTGACTGCCATTGTTTTCCATGGGAACAGAAGCAAAGCAGCAGAAGTGAGCTGGGTTTTGGCCTCTTTCCTGGCTTATTTCTGCTCAAGTCCTGGTTGGATCTGATTTCCCAAGGGGCTTCGCTGGCCCCTGGGGAGTCGCAGTGCTGGGGAGCAGCCTGGCCCCCAGCTCCACATGGCCATCCATGGACAGGACAGGACCCATTGCTGCCTGAGCCTGTTTCTGCCCTCAGCCTGACCTGAGCAGGGGGTCAGGCCTGGCCTGGCAGAGCCCCAGGGAGAGAGAAAAGCAAGCGGTTCTCCCCTTCCTGCAGACATGCATCATCCCAGGAACAGGGCAGGATGCTCACCAGCCTGCTAGTGAGTGCCAAACCTACCCAGACTGAATGGAGAGGAGATCACCGTTAAAATACACCAGCAAGTGTGAAAGAGCTTTTGTTCTAGACAGACTCAAAAGATCCAATACATCTGCCCTACATATTAAACCAAACTGAGATGTTGCCTGTACCCGGCTTCTTACCCTAATCCAAATTTAATTCCCTTTGAAGGGAAAGGGTGAAAAAAATCCATACGCTGTATGTGGTCTGTCCAGATACAGAAAGAAACCTCTTGACTCAGAGAGAAACTGTCAAAACAGTAAGCAGCTGTATAGGTTTGCCACACTGCCTGGCACCCTCCCTGTGCAGCCATCCTTAGCTAGCAGGGCAGAAAAAAAATTATATAAATCAAGGCCCTTTCATTCCTTGTTTCTCATTCTGCCAAATTCCCTTTTCCAGTAGCTCATCTGCATGCATTCTGGTCACGTAGACCACAATTAATCCTTTTTTGCCCCCTCCTTTAAAAAAGGTTTTACAATAATTAAGAACTTGAACAACAACGTGATCAGTTACAAGTCTTTCCTTGCTGAATGGGACAAGTGTGTGTCTGTGTGAGTGTGCATGCACACGTGTGTCAGGGGAGGGCACGTCCCCAGCCATGCCACTGGTCGGTGCACAGCCACCGAGTGCTACTACAGTACATGGCAAAAGAGGAAAGGGCACGCCACAGAAATAGCTTATCGGCTGAGAGTCTCTGTACAGGAAAGGCTGCAAGCACAGCCTGCTGATGGCCCACGACTGGAGTCTGCATAGATCCTCGACTGCAATTCAGCTGCCAGGAGAATCTGTAAGTGGGAGCTGAAAGGGACCGACATCTCTGCCACACACTGCAAGGAAAAGAGGCAGCTAAAGTGTGAAACTACTGCAGAAACCAAACCTGAAGAAGAGCAATCGAAAGATCAACCAGAAAACAGTTTGAAGCCTTGTCAGAAGAGTTCATTCACCACGGAGCAGGTAAGAATGGCTGCTGTGGCTAATGCAGCAGCAAACACCCATTCTGCCCTTGAAGGCAGTGGCTTCTCCTCAGCTGCAAGAGGAACCAGCTCAGGCATAGATCCCTGCTGACAGGGCAAGAAAGGCCAACCAACACCGATTCCCTTACTGGCCCAGGCCAAGAGAGACAACTGTTAACCACCACCACAACGGAGAGACCACTGCAGTCAACTGTGTCCTGCTCTGGCCCAGGCGAGGGCTATCAGATCACCAGATTCTTTTCACAGTCCAAGAAGGGCAGCTCCCTTCCTGAGCAAAAAACAACAACAACAAAAAAAAGAGAGGAAAAAAAAGAGAGGCTTCAACAGTGACCATTTGCTGAATCAGTCCAGCAAACAGGGATTATGCTCCTGGAACAGCAAGTAGAAGCCTCCTCCAGGTAAAATGTGGAACCTCTAAAGTGCTCCTGCTAATGCTAATAGATGAACACTGCCCTTCCATGCCCAGCAGTGGAAGGGTGTAATGTGGTTAGTGGTATAACAAGCACTAGCACTCAACCGTTTATCAACTCCCATCTGGATTGTGGTAGTTTTCTGAAATGCACTTTTGGGAGATATTTCCTATGAGAAGAGGATGTTTGGGGATTTGAGGGTAGGAAGGTGAAGTGCACACCATAGCATACCTTGTTGAGTAAAACCGTTGCCTTGGAAGGTGATGTTCCCTTGCAGAGTCAATGGAATAAAGCATCCTGCAAGTGACCATTTCACCGTGTCACCAACGAGCAGCTCTCGGTTTGGTTAGAACGGTTTCCCCCTCCCCCAGTGGTTTGAAGAGTTCACAGTGGTATAACCCAATGTTCTGGGGAGACAGAAGCTGAGAAGTCCCCTGTTGCAAGTGAATGGGTGAATGCAGATGAGCAACATCCTCTGGGACTAAGGACAAACCTCACAGACACCTTGCGTCTGATCAGAAACAGGGGGAAGGAAGGCAGGCACTGGAAGAACTGGGAAGCGGAGAAGGGTAATGCCAACGCAGGGAAAGTGCATGATCTGGAGTGGTCTCGGAGTAGTTCTGCAGTGCAAATGTACGGGGAGGGGCGTGGTGAAATCCCTTCTGGAATGCTGCATGAAGAGAGGTAAAGGTTGGCATCCATGTGGCAGCGGACTGGGTAGGGGGTCTGTTTCCAGCAGCTCTACCCTGTTCTTCACATTTAGTGGGTTTCAATCACCACTGGCTCGTAAACTCCAGATGAGACCCTAGGGAGACACAGGGGAAGAAGATGAGAAAGCCCGGTTATTTCCCTCAGTCACTTAGAGCAAGCAAGTTCTTATTCAGAGGTCTGCACTCACAAACATCCCCCTCTAACCCCACAAAAAATACTGAAAATAACGAGTCAGTCTGGCAAGAAGTCAACCCTCATAATACAAAACAGACAGCTACGTGGCAAGCTAACACTAGAGCACTTGAACGAGTGGGGTGTAACACATGAATCCTTCTAAAGGACAGAGGAAAGGGGGAGTATCCTGCGCAAAGAGCCAGAGTTCCTGGCTTTGCTTTGCTCCCAGTTTTGTCACCAACTTGACACGTCTTTGCATTACCAACACTGCATTTTTTTTTTAACCTCAAAAGTTGCTATAAAGTCTCAAACAAAACTAGCCAAGACACTGTACTAAGAGCTATTGTGGCAAGAAAAAGTGGTATTTGTTCAGAAGCCTTTCCGGAGAGAACAAATCCTCCACGAAGTTGGAGGAGGCAGGGAAAACGGACAATACTCCAGGCTGCTGCAGTTTTGCTGCAGGCCAGCAGGAGGCAAAGCTCCCTGCCTTCAGTGTGGTGCAGGAGCACGCAAGAACCAACCTCTTCCATTTTGTCCTTTTACTCCTTACTTCTCACATCTAACACCTAGGATCACATTATCCCTCTGAGCACCTTTTGGGAACCACATTCATACTCCAGTGCAGCTGTAGCCCGTCATCAGAGGGATCCCAGGGGTGCTAAAGTGGGAATAAAGCCACCACGTAGCACATGATGTTTACAAATCTCTCCTGCAGCAAAAGGTGAGAGTTTCCTGGGTACTAAGAGCTAACTAATCTCTCTGGAGCCCCTCTGTCTGCCAGCCTTTCAGGAAGCCTACCTGTTTCCCAGCTGAATACCGCTCAATGTAGTTGTTCCATCTCTGCTCACAAACAACCTCAGGTTACTGTCTGCAGATAGAAAAGGAAGTCAGACATCAAAATCCAGAAGTACGGACGGTTGCCAGGTGCTCCCCTCCCAGCTGCATTACACAACGTTTAGCACGAGAACAAGTGTGTTTCTGTGAATGTATGTGCATGCTTTCTGCTGTTCCCACAGTAATAGAGCCCCTGGGAACTCCTCTTCTTGCTCTGAAAGGGAGCCTCATGTACAAATCAACCACAGCATTAAGCCTCAGAAGAGTAACCGCAGAGAAATTAATTCAGTAATACTCCAGCTGCCTCTTTTAAGGCAATTCCATTGATGCAAGTTCTTGGTCAGCTTAAACATATGTGAACAGATGAGATGTGAGGCCTCATGTTGCTTTGGTAGGCTAATCACTGGAGGAGAAATTCAGCCTGTTCTGCTGGTGAGAGGTGGCTGCATTCAGCCTGGTTTGAACCCATGCTGAGTGAGGTGCATATTCCCATATATATGGTAAGAGTGTTGCCACGTGCAATGATTCAAGGTGACTAACAGGAACGTAGACAAGCATGAACAACAAGCTAGGCTCAAGTTTAAAACTTATCAAAAAGCCTCAACTGGATGAAAAAGACTGATTTCTAGGCTAAACCGAAAAATCAGAACAAATGCAATGATATTATTAGTTTGTTGGGGTTTTTTTAACAGATGCTGTGACTGCAATGGAGAAAACCCCTTCTTACGCTCTTGGACAGAGTTGATCACCAGCATGCTGTGACTCACCTTTCTTCCCACATTTTTTTGCAGAGATGCACTGTTTCCCCTCCAGCTGTGCTCACCTACTTTAATAAACACCCTTGGGCTGACCCTGGACGAAGGCCACTAGAGCAGTACAGGCAGCTGATGTAACTGATTTCCACTGCACTGAAAAATCAGTATTTTCCTCCCTCTCATTCTGCATGTGTGAGCTACTGTTCAACCTCTGTTGTAGTGTGTAGAACAGCAGCAAGCGCTATTTGCTAATGGATGTGCAGCTCCCAAATCCACATGGTTTGTTTACCTATCACAGAAAGACCTAGCAAGTGCTGAAAGCAAATTGCTGTCAAAAGCAGAAGAGAATCCATGGCAGAGCAGATCTGACTGTAAAAGCTTGGCAGCCTTGCTAAAGGAACAGCCAAGACCCTTTGAGACTCCTCCTCTCACCTTCAGTATTGCTGACATCTGTGAAGTCCTGACTCTGCATTATTTTCTCCACTATATCATCAGCATCGATCCTGGTGTCATCCACTCGGGTTGGGTGACTCTCCACTGAATCCTTTTTCCTCCTGAGAGAAAATAAAAGGGAAAACTTACTCAGCTTTTCAAGACACAGACTTTCATACACTCTCCTGCTTCTATTGGCAATAGCCTCCTTCTCAGTGGCTACAGTCTGATCTGCCACTGCATGAAGACAAAGGAGTAGACTCTGTCTTGCCTTCCCAGAGAAGGCACTTTGCTCTCCAGTTACTTACCGGGAGGGTCTATCCAGCAGAATGGCTGGTCTGGGGGGGCGAGGTGGCTTCTCAAGTTTGTGGTCCCGCTCTCCCTCAGGACACTCCACCGTCATACTCAGGCCTCCAGATGCACTGCTGCTGGTGGAGGTATTCCTGCGATGGGTCAAGTCAGACATACTAGAAGAACGGGAGTGCTCCGTGCTGTAACCTGCAAATATAGAGTGATTACAAATCAGATCTTTTTTCCTGGCATCACAGTTAGCAGGCAGGGCAGCTTCAGACCAGCATTTCTGTTCCCATATACAGAGGTTTAGACATACATCTATGAGCTCATCTGCAGACTAAACAGGAGACTCTGATATTACAGAACAGGGTGAGAGAGATTGCTGCAAATCACTCTCAGAAGGGCTTGTTGCAGGAAAGAAAAAGGGACGGGGCCGGTGCTGACGGAGCCGTGCAGGTCAATGGTTACCGGAGATCTTGGACTGCTGGCTGGCGTAGCTGGAGTTCCGCGAGTGCCCCGAGTGGAAAACTTCCTCCGGGCTGGACAGGTTCTGGTCCGGTTCTTCTGGAACACCTGCCAAGGAACAAGAGGGCACTCCACTTACACCATAACCAAGCCAGCACATTGCCTGCTGATCACCTTGGACCGGAGGCTGATCTCGGGATGTTAGATCAAGGAAAGGCCAAGTTTGTTGGCAGAGCACTGCTGTACAGGCTAGCACAGAGCTTAGAAGCAACTGGGGAGAAGGGAAAACAGTGAGCTTCTCTGTCAAGCTTATGACTAATTCTAACATTCTAACATTCAGCACCCGAATTCACAAGCATCTCTGAGGGCTTGAAGGACCTAGGAGGATAGGTAGTATCTGAAGCTACCCATAGTTAAAAGCATTAAGCTAAGACCAAGAAAGCATGAAATGGCCACCAGCAGTGAAGTATTAAAGTCCCAATTTGGGTGCTTCTCCTGTTACTACCTTTCCCCTTCTATTACTTGTGAGAGAGCCCATGCCATTTAAATCACACCTGAATTCAATACAGAAACCTCTGCATAACCTCTGCTCCTTGGTTATTGCCTCTGCTTGTCTCTCTTGGATCAAGCTTATCCAAAAGTGCACAAGTGTAATGTATTAGCCACCTTTTTAAGAACTGCACTTGCCCACTGTGCTAAGTTACTGAGGTGATGAGACTAGAGTGCTATTTTGGTGCAGTGTATCTGCCTGCACACACACATTTGGAGTGTGCTGGAAAGGAAAAAAGGCTACGGGAAAATGCATTGCCCTTGAAAACGGGCTTATACAGAGCCAAAGAACTCTGCGTCAGCAGCTGGAACAAGGCCATTAGACCTCAAACCAACCTCTAAAACCTTCAGAGGAACTTTTCTGTAAGATAAGTCTGAGCAACAGAACAGCTGAGTGAAGAACAATGTTAAGTATCATTGAACACAATGGAAAGCAAGGATGACTGCGATACATGAATTATTAAATCCCCAGCAGAAAGAAAAAAGAAATGCACTTAAGAGGTGGTTTTGGTTTTCTTAATTTTCTTAATGAGCAGAGGGGTGAGGATGGGTGCAGGAAGACATGAAAAATTAAAGAATTTCTGCGCATGCAACTGCTGGGAAAAGCAAAAATATCCCGGCACAGACAAGCATTGCAGGGCTCCAGGACAGGCACTCGTACCTGAGCTAAGAATGGCAGCTCTTGGCTTGGTCTGACGCAGAGAGCCAATGGTGGCCGAGCTGCTGCTGCTTGTGGTTCCCTCGCCCTTACAGGTCAGCTGCAGGGTAGAGTCCTGCCCTGGTATGGTGATGGATTTGGCGGTGGAAGGAGGCCTGAAATCAGAGAAGAAGAAAGTTACAAACTGCCAGGTAGGCACTGGGAATCACCCCATGATACCAGGAATTCCCACCCTGCTCTGTCAAGAGGGTCGCCCCTGCCTGGCCCTACCCTTCATGGTGGGGGGAAGCTGGCAGCCCTCTGTGACCAGCAGCACAGTGTGACACTGGATATTGTTTTCCTACATGCAAGACTCAGGTCTTCCCTACCTTGTGCTGCATCTGGACTGCATTACAAGGAAATGCAAGTTTCTGAGCTAAACTAAAGCAAAAGGGGACCATGCAATCATTTATATAGGACAACAGGCTTGGAGCCTGCACTAACCTCCAGAAGACCATCCAGAACTGCCCTTTTCCCCCAACATACGTCCAGTGGCCAGTTGGCTTCACAAACAGGAACCAGTTTGCTGGTGTCCAGCTCTCAATTCCAGCTCCCTTTCACACCACCTTTCTGACTCAGGTCAGAAAGAAAGCTTTTATCTGAACAATCTCATGCCTCTAGGAGAGTACTTTCATAGCGATCAAATAACCTTTCCATTTTTAAGCTGACGATTAAACTCCTTTTCAGTGAGACCACAGTGTTTTTCCAGCTGTCAAAATTATTTTTCTGGTTATCCTGTGTGCTCTCAACATCCCTTTGTAAATGCTGACTGCAGGACAGAGCTGCAAGTGCCCAGAGCCCCCTCCCTTCCTCCAGAAGTGTTTTTGGGTGGAAGCCATGGCATGTGCAGTGTGGCAAAGTGAATATTCCTGTTGGAGCCCTAAACTGGAACTAATGGATCATATTATGCTTTTTAAGTGAGGAGTGAGAAAGAAAAACTTTTATTTGTCTCACTTGGAGCTCTGAGGGAAGATGCTACATGAGAGGACCTTTGTATTGTTTTGGGAGAAAGAATAAAGCACTAAGAATATTTTACATGGGCAGCCAAACGGCTACAAAGGTTTCAGGAAACCCACAGCAAGCCTTCAACCAGGAAAAAACCCTCCCTAATCACATTATCAGTGATTTACATGCACCCGGGTACTTTGGGGACTTTGCTGTGCAGGTTAACGAGGCCTTTACAGCCTTAATCAAGGCAACTGCTCCTGCAGCAGCTGTCAGCTCAGGCAAACAGCCTGCTCTGCCCTCCTGCACGACACCCAGGAGGAGACGGTTCACCTGAGTGCTGCAGAAAGTCAGCGCTCTGAAGCGATTTCCCAGCACAGTTTAATTCCTACCTAATCCCCTAATGAGTGCCATTTCTCAAAAGCTCTACTGACCAAGGACAATTCTACATGCCAAGCTTCTATTTTCAGACATTTGCACATCATCAACATATAAGGAAAAAAAAACGGGAATGACTGCAGAAATCCTTTAAGAAAATCAGGAGGCCTGACTTTCAGACTGACCCTACTTATATTAAATGGAAATATAAATTCAGTTTTGTATCATTTTCAGGACTTGCTTCCACAGTGAAGGAGCAACAGGTATTTTTGTCAGACATGTTACTGCCAGACATCCTAGTACTCCAGATTTAAAACATCTGTTACTGTTACAAAGTTATGGTTTAAGATATCCAAAACTTCTTCATTACATGTCCTTCTGAAGGAGAATTTTTTCAGAATCAAATGACACTGCATTTAGGGTATGAAAGTCTCAGAAAACGCTGCAGCACTGTGAAAAGCCATTCATAAAATAAACCAACCAAAAGTTACTCAGCATTGTATAACAAGAACGCAAGCTCATTTACACACTTTAAGCTAGCTTCTAAAATGAGACCTTTCAGCCCAGAATACCATGGCTGGAAGAGATGGCCTCAAGGTAAAGCTTTCTTCTCTCATACTGCTGGGAGTCAACACACAATATTTACATCAGCACACGGCAGCCCTGCACGGTCACACACCTCACAGCGCACCACAGCCGCCTGGCTCGGGCCGCAGAGTCTTGCACCACCACACTGCAGCATGTACGTACATGTTGCCGGTGTATTTATTAGTTGATCCCCCAACAATTCTTTAAGCAACAAAGCTGCTTCACAGCTTAACTGTACTTATTCTTTCCTATCACGATGCAAAAATAAGTACATGATTGCAATTTCTTTGCCAATTAATACAAATTGTAAGCCTTGTAGAAGAAAAGGAGAATTAAAATTAGTCAGCTTTGCAGTATTTTTGTTGCTGTTTCAATTCAAGATCTTTCTCCTGCATGGTATGAGCTGAAGCACATTGCCAAGACTTTTCTTCATTGACCTTTCCCTGCTCAGGTCAGTGAAACCAACCCCAGAGCTATGAGAAATTCCACCCTTCACGCAAAACATGAAGTTTGTTGTCAACGTCCATTAGTTTCCAAAACCCAGCTGACACCAGCAGGGAAAGTCCTGGCGCAACCAGTAACCAAGCTGGGAAAGCCAGAGCAGAGCACAAATCAACCAACAGCACAGGCTGGCTTAGCTATTCTGGCTGATTCCACAACCTGGACCACCAGTTTCCAACCTTCTCCTGTACTTCCCAATAACAAGGCCATCTTTTCCCACTCCCCATCAATTTCAGTCTCCAACAGAGAACTGTGAAAGAACCAGGTGTCCTGGTCTGCCCAGAACGGGGCAAGGATGCAGAAACTCACGTTTTGAAGCAGGGGTCCCCCGAGAGCAGGGACATTCCAATGGTGACCTGGAGAGGGGGGACAAGGCACATCGTTAGCCATCCTGCAGTGAGCTCCTCACTTAACAACAGCCAGGAGACCAAGGACTAGGTGTAAAGATTAGCAAGACCTAGCTCCTTTCCAAAGGAAATCAACTTCAGGGATTTAGCAAGGTATTTCCCTCCCTGCCCCAGATCACTGGCATCAGTAACTCCAAGTGGCAGTGACTCAGCAGGAGGACACCAGCCCTGACAATGCACTTAGAAACCCTTTCCCCTCTCCTCTTCATGGTCTCTTTGATGACAAAGAACACCATCAAGGGTCGTTGCTTGGCCAAAATATCAAAGGGCAACTCTGACAATGGGAAGCTTCCCAAGTCAGACTAGCAGCAGCAAAGCAAAATCCTGTCTCTGTACATAACAGGAGCTTCTCTCAGGCCTGACCCTGCACTCCGGCTGTGATCTTTCTGAATTCCATAGTAGGATTTCCACTGTGGCAGTAGTAGCTGCTGTACCTTTAGGATGGAGTTGTCCTGCCGGGTGTTCTTAGTATCATATCCTTCCAGCAAGCAGCAACGGACAGTGGATCCAGAGCCCGCAAATTCTGCCAGATTTAGATCAGCAAAGCCCAGCTGTAGCCAACAAAACAATAGAGGGGAAGGGGAAAGAACAAAAATTACTCAATAAAGGGATACGTGGTGTCACACAGACCAAAGGAGGAGAGCGCATCTGTGAGCAAGGGCAGGAATTGAGCCGGTACACACGGAGGGGTGGCTGTGAGGATCTCCTACTCTCGAGGATGGGCAGGGTCACATTCCTCATTCCAAGCCAGGTGGGCACTCAGAGGCCTTCAGGAAGCAGCCCTGCTTGGAGGGAGGACGCGCAGCAGTGGTGCTGGCCAGGACAGGGTTAACCAGCCCACAGCCATTGCATAACCAAGGACATGGAAGGCTCTAGGTCAACGATGTGGAAAAAACAGAATCGCACACACACAAACATAATAAGGCACCCTTTGTATCGGGCCATCCCAGAATGCAGTGGAGCATGTGAACCAGGAGATGAAAGGATATTGTTACAGAGGAAAGTGACACCGTCCCGAAAAACAAAACCGAGACTTTCAGCACACCAAGCCATGCAGCAGAGCATGTGGCTTCTTCCCACAGCCGCTGGGCTGGGGAACTCCTGGAGCAAAGTTTCCTCAACACCTCCAAGGTTTATCTAGAAGTGGTATGTTTGGCAGCCAGAAAGGAAGAGAAATATTTGGAAAGATTTAGTTGTGAGCTCTCTAAACCTTCTCTAACAAAGGAGAAGCAGATAGGAAAGGTGACAGGCAAATTCAAAGAGGGTACTGATGCCTCTAGAGTAAAGACAAACACAATGAAGAGTGTTTTTGTTTTTCTGCTCCAATTCCTGGTGTAAGAATACAGTGTTTCAAAGGAAAAGTTACAGCTTCTCTTACGCAGAGCTTTAGCAATACGAGTCAGTCATGTCTCAGCTAATCTGATCAGGAAGAGATGCTGTACCCCGTGTTTGGCCAAACCATCCAAGCGTAGACAGTTTGCGTCACTTCAACGCAAACACGAGCTTCCACGAGAACATGGAGAGAAGGTGGAGAAGCAGCAGGGCAGACGTGGCTGTAACTCTGCACTGAAGTACGTTTCTCCTGCCCTGGTGTTGACAGCCAGATGACACAGCTGAACTGGAAGCCTTAAACAGTAGCACCATCCTAAAGAAATGTGGTGCTCTGTCAACGGTAGAAGCTGACAGGAGTCACAGCCACAGTCACTGCCATGTGAACCCTGGCTCTCCCTGTTCCCAATCAAAAGTCTAAGCCCCAGCCTGCACAAGATATATGATTCAGGGGAAGACACCAGCAAGATCAGCATAGCCACTTCCTCCATCCCATTCTCAAAGGGGAACAAGAACTGATGGTAAAGGAAAAAAAAAAGTGTGGGATAGAGCAGGAACCTTTCTTCAAAAAAAGGAAGAAAAAAAGTCACCTAACTTTCCTCCCTTCATAAGAATTCCCTTAATGCAAGTGTTTCTCCAGCCCTTGCTGTACACATTCCTCTTCTCTTCTAGCCCAAGAATATTCCCTGATAAGGAAACAAACCTGAATTTTTATATCTTTGAGATAAACGGGACAGGAGAAAGCCTCAGGGGGAGCTGCGATCCATCACTATGACAAAACCAGAGGACAGAGGAGAGATGGCACAACCACACCAGCAGAACGACATGGCATGGGAGTGGCCCAGACCCAGACACCTCTTCCTCCACTGACTTCCCTGAGATTGACGTTGGAGGACAGTGTGGGAGAACCCTCCAGCGCCCATACGGTGTGCTGAGGTCAGAAGCTCTTCTCAGGAAGCAGACTCCCAGTATATAGAGGAAGGATCCCTTAACAAAAGGATGTTTTCAGATGTAACCTTTCAGAATAGTTTCCTCAGTTTTCCAGCCAGCTGATGGTGTTTCTTCCAGCTCAGGGAATTGAGTTTCCGCTTTATCAGTCTTTCCTGTTGGCTTCCACTCTATAACCCCTGACACTGAAGTGACATTAACGTCAAACCAAAAGGTGCGCGAGTCAATGGAAACTCTGTCTTGAGCACAAACAGCTCCATCACCCT